TCGAAGCAAGGTCCTGTGCTCCAAACAACAGGATTGGGCCAGACAGAAGGCAAAGACCGTGGCACTCCAGGATGAGGAAAGATCAAGTGAACGGCAGGCACACACAGAGGAGTTATGAGAAACAGTCTGAACACAGGCTCAAATGCCCTTTGGGGAGAATTCGGCCATGATTGGAGTATTGCACCTTGGGAATAACCTTCACACACCTCTCGCCTCTCTAAGAACATTCAGATTATTGAGGTATGCACTGGCGTGTGTGTACACATGCACCTCAACGTGCCTGCTGGCTCTGCAGCAGCAAGGCCTGGTGCACATTTTATGGGCAGAACAGAGAGGGGATACGGCGTGAGAAAAGTTTAACTCTTTGAAGAGCGCTGCCTCCCAAACACCTACAAAAGGTTAGGTGGCAGAGCGGTCCAGCTACCCAGTTGCTTGACAGTGGTACCTGCTACCAGTGATTGACTTTTCATCTAATCATGTAGCCTCTCTGAGGGAAACAACGCATGAAGGGAGGTGTTGCCGCTCTCACCTCCAGAGGACTCACCATCAGTGTTACAACACTGTTCAGAGCTTCCCCAGAATAAATGAAGAGAGAAAGGCCGACATGAAGAACATTCTGCTATACCTTAGAGACTCGGGGGTAGGAGAAGGATTAAAGAAAGTCTCAACGTGACATTTTTAGCACAACAATATAAATAAGTTGAGGTGATAAATATATTCTTCAGAGTGCACATTTTATAAAAATAACAATTATTGCCATTGGTTGAGGGCCCGAAATGTGCCAGGCCGTTGCCAGCAGGAGGTGCCACAATAGCTCACTGAGTAAAATCTTCACAATTGCCATGCTAGGGAAATTGCTATCCCACTTGTATAGATGCACTGAGAGTTTGGAGGCTGAGCAATTTGCCACATGCCCCTCATTGAATATTCAGCAGACCTGGAGTGCAAGCCTGGTTGTCTGTTATTTCAAGTGTTTGGTGTCTGCACTATGTTGCTTTACTCTTATCTCTACCTGCATTAATTAAAACACAACCTATTTAAAGGCATTTAAATAATGCAACAATTAAAAAGACATCAGCTGATTTCTTTTTTTTCCCCTGAAATGACATGTTCCTTTTTTTCCTTTACTCAAAAGGAGACAAAAATATTAGCCTACTATTTACTCCCCCAATTAATGCTGTGGGACTCTACCGGAAAAGATCAGTGCGACCTCTAAACAGACACCACTAATCCCACCACAGTGTCACTTGGCGCCTGTCCTTCTGTGTGCTGTCGGAGGCAGGAATTGTTCACGGCTCCCCGGTTCTGGTGGCTTCTCACCTGCAGCACTTCCCTCGAATATCTTCCTTGGCCTGTTATTATTTTTAATTGCTTGTGGTGTGTTTTTTGCTGGGAAAGTACTGTGCAATCAAGATCATCAGTGCTACTTCGGAGGAACCTCAAGAATTCGATTAGTAAGTGCAGCTCTACTCCTCTGACGACAGGCAGGACAGGAGATGTCTGAGTGTTGTCCAAGGTCATGGGACCTGGCAGCCCTTGCAGAGACAGCATGAAGCACCTTCAAAGAATCCATGGAAGCTCTGGCTGGGTACCTCTGTTGGTTAGAGCATCACCCCAATATATCAAGGCCATGGGGTTGATCCCTGGTCAAGGCACATGCAAGAATCAACCAATGAAAATAAAAATAAGTGGGATAACAAATTGATGTTTTCCCCCCTTCTCTCCCTGTCTCTTTCTGATCAATAAAAAAAATTAAGAAACAAACCAAAACCACAAAGAATCTATGTCAGCCCAGAGTAGCAAAGGTAAGGAAAAGGTTCTGTGCGACAGAACAAGGAAGCACTCTGAGTTGGAAAGCCCTGGGCTCACAGATCTTAGCAAACACATGAACAGTAGCAGTAGTAGCAGTTCTAGCAGCAGTAGTAGTAATACACACAGTCTACCTTGTTCCAGCAGATATTACTTAGTGACTTTGTGATCTTGAACAAATGACTTATTTTTCATAACTCAGTTTTCTCCTCTGTAAAGTAGGAGCAATCATATCAGGTTACATCATGTTTTGAGAACAAAATGAGATGGTCTCAATGAAGACTCTTTGTTCCAAATGACAGGAACCCAATCAGAGCCAGGTAAAGTAGAAAGAGCACTTAATTAAAAGTAATGTCTCTCGAAAACATCACACAGCTGGGTCTGGGGAACACTATAATTAGAGGCCCATGTGCCATCCAGAATCTCCCTCCATTTCCTGTCATCACTTCCCTGGAGGCACCTGCAGTGGTCCTGCCCACTGCTTAACCACAGGTGTCAAACACAAGGCTCTCGGACTGAATCTGGCCCTCCACCTTGCTTTATCCAGCCTGGTCCCTTGCTTCTACCCAGCAGCAATGCTGAGCTTTTTTCCCCTAGTTAAGAAATAGTTACACTTATACAGTCCTAAAATTACATTCGGCTCTTTGAAGGAAACCATGAGGCTGATGTGGCCTCCAGTGAGAATGAGTTTGACAACCGTGGCCTAAGCTGACATGGCAGGACACATACACCAATGTCCCTCAACCCAGACTGAGAGACAAACTGGTCCAAGTTCTGAATCCCAGGGAAGAACTGGGATTGGCCCAGCTCATGTCATGTGCCTATATCTAGACCAATCAATTATCTGCTGACAAGATGCAGTATTTTATTCTACTTATATGCTGCCCCTATGGTAAGTCTGAGGATAGGGAGAGGTGGGCGTTTTGTAAAAGAAAGGATTAGTTACTAGAAAAGAGTTTCACCACAGATGAAATAATTGGTATCGATTGCAACAATATATGAAAAACAGTTATCACTGCACCCAGTCCAGAATAGACACACATATGTATGGGGGTTTTGGTCAATATATAGATTTCTGCACATTTTGAAAGGTGATATTTTTAAAAGCAAAATAAATACAATATTATGTGTTAATTACAATGAATATAGAACATCTAATGTTAAAAATCATAAGAGAACATAGATGCTGTGGACAATTTATGTTTTAGGTGCCTAGTACTTTCTCCATCAATTTAAAGACAATAGAAAATCAACACATTTTAAAACAGAATCTTGTTTCCTTACCCTATCCTCTTTCTCCCATCCCTCAGAAACTCAAATCTTCTCACTTTTCCACTCTTGCTTTCCGTCATTTTTCGGTCTTTAGTTGTTTTAATTTGGGGGACCCTTTATCATTAAAGGTCTAGAGGACCATATACAGTACAGGAAACTATTTCAAAGAGCAATTGAATGATCTTACATGGTTATCACTAACCATTGCTCCAAGCCCGAGATGAAAAAAGACAATTCCTGTTTTTCCATTTTTCCCCAAAACACACAGGACAATTTTGACAAGTCATTTGTGATCCCTGCAGCCTCTTTAATCAGCGTGGTGGTTACAAGCCCACTTTTCTCTGGGAGTCAGTCTGGGGACATCAGCAGATTAAGTATGCACAGGTCCAGTCACAGGGAGAAGTGAAAGAAGCAGAAAACAAGATACTTCCCTTTCTTATCAGAATGGGAATTCCCACGCAGAGGAAGAATGTTTTCTGTGCAAGAAGACAAAGGGATTATTATGCTTGAGTTAAAAATTATATGAATCCAATTATACTCTGACAATAAACTCCAGACCTCGATAAGGGATTGAGTCAACATATTTCAGGTTTTAGAAAGAAATCACTTTGTGTTGCTTCCCAGAATTCCTTCCAGCTGATTGCAATATATGACTAAATTTTTAAATATTTTATTTATTTTCAGAGAGAGGGAAAGGGAGGGAGAAAGAGAGGGAGAGAAACATCAATGTGTGGTTGCCTCTCACGTGTCCCCCACTGGGAACTGGCCTGCAACCCAGGCATGTGCCCTGACTGGGAATCGAACCACGATCCTTTGCTTCACAGGCCCCCCACTCAATCCACTGAGCTACACCAGCCAGGGCTAATTTTTAAGAAAATAGTTTCGCCCTGGCTGGTACAGTTCAGTGGATTGAGTACCAGACTTCGAACCAAAGGGTCAATGGTTCAATTGCCAGTCAGGGCACATGCCTGGGCTGTGAGCCAGGTCCCCAAAGAGGGCGCACTAGAAGCAACCACACATTGATGTTTCTCTGCCTCTCTTTCTCCCTCCCTTCCCCTCTAAAAAATATGCATAAATTAATAAATTAATTAATACTTTTTAATTAATTAAAGTTTCAGGACCTGCCAAATAGAATGAGGCGAAAAAGAGTATCTATCATGTTAAAAAAGAAAGACATTGAAAGTCTCATCTTGCATTGAATTTTGTTGCTATGACATGATTCCTCTATAGGAGGAGAAATTAACTTGATACAGCACTAGGGTCCCCAGTGGCAGTAAAAGGAAGGAATTCAGTGGTTCAGAAATCTATGTTAACAGATAAAGATTACTCCACATTTGTTTTCAAACATGAAAAGAATTCCATGAGGGAAAGAAGTTACCAGAATAATAATATTGTCTTGGAACAAATTTTACAAAATCCATAGGACAAAAGAAAAAGTTCCCAATGGGGCTGCTTGGTTACAGCTTAAATGAAACATACATTGATTGAAGACTCACACCACTTAAAGTTTATTACACAAATGCTCAATTTTTGTCCTCTAAAAATTCTATCAACTCCTTTCTTGGTGGCTAGGGTATTAAAATATGCAAATAAGCATGCTCTAGTTGATCAGTGTTAATCTTTTTGCAATAACTAATGTTCTCTCTCAAAAGCCACCAACTCCTTCTGTTCATGTCACCTTCACCCAGGAGTCACCAAATGCTGAAGACAGTTGCTTTTTACTTGATTAAATTTTAGGAGGTTGAAGCTAGGCCAAAAACCTCACCCTACTCTTTCCTAAATACTTTTCCTCCTCTTTCTTAATTACATGGCTTTCTACTGATTTGCATGAATTTCAGCTTTCAAAATCATTGGTCTTTGCTGAATGCAAATAGGCACATAAGTTTGCACAATTGATCTTTCATCATTCCAAATGGTACCTTTGAACAGTTCCTGAAATGTCTGTCTGAAATACTCCCAGCGCTGAGAGTCATCAAGAGACGTGGGGTCACCCTGGGGAAACCCATTCTCAGTGATGTAAATTACAGGGTTATTATACGTATCCTGGAACAAGAGAGCAGAAGTTTTATTCCAAACAGATGTAAAAAAAAAATGGCTCATAAAATCAGGTGCATTATCCTCTATCTTCTTTAAGCTACAGCCCCAAACTAGTTTTCATCAAATTGCACTGACCCTATTAACTTAATTTTCCACGCACTGATCTTTTATGACTAACAATGGAAAAGCAAAACTGTGCAAATGTGCATGAAAGAGTCAAATGACTCCTCTTCTAATGGGAAGACAGAAATATCTTTCTTCCCTCAGCATCTGCTGATTGTCACTGCTCCTTAACCCTTTTGTGCCCCTAGCAGCTACACTCTTTATCCTCTCCGCAGAAGGGGTCCTGAAAACTGCTAACTTGAAGTTTTAATTTCAGCTACCTGCACACACCACCCAGCATAACACGGACTTCAAAAGGACCCAGCTATTTCAACCTTAATTCACCTTTTAATAATCACAGTCCTGACACCAGCCTGAAAAATATCCCCAAGCTTTTTCCTATGGCCATGGCTGACTTTTATTTTTTTTAAGTATAATTTAATAGTGAGTCCTAACTTTGACCATGGTTTCCAAAGCCTTTTATCAGCTAGTTACTCCTCACCAATTTATATCTTATTTTTTTCTTCCCAGGCCAACAAATGCATATGCTATTGCCTAAAATCACTCTTTTTTTCAGGTTTATATACACATATACATAGGCCTATCTTCCCATCCTCACGTATGTGGGTGTACATAGACACAAATGTGCACTTACCTTAATGTATTTCAATAGTTTACGAATTCCCCATGGTACCACATAGACCCAGTCCAAGCTTATCCAAGACGGGTCTGTAAAATATTCGATCTCTGCATCCCGAAGTACACCCAGTTCTCCTTTATCATTCTCCTGGTACTTGACTAGGCGAGTGGAATAATAGTGCATAGCAAAGAAATCAGCTGTGCCTTTGATCATCCTCTTCTCTTCTTCTGTAAATTGTGGAAGCCTTGACGACGGGTAGCCCTGCTTTTGGCTCATGGAGGCAACCTGGGACTTGACAACTTCCGGATAATCACCATCGATAAATATGGGTTTAGCAAAGAAATCCAAGTGGAATGCCAAGGCTCTTTTAGCAGCTTCTTGATCAGACACTGAGTTGGGGTCAGCTGGTTCCATCCAGGCAGAAAAAATGGTGAGGGACACCATACCCTTCTGCTCTTTTCGGAATAAGGAATCATAGCTGTGCCAGGCTCTCGCGTGGGCTTTAATCAAATTGTGAGCTGCCTGGTAGCCTCCGGTTCCTGGGTGAGGTACACCAGGAGGAAACGTGCCAAAATCGTACGCCCTCAGGGCAAATACATTAGGCTCATTGATGGTGATCCACAGCTTTACTCGATCTCCAAATGTACTGAAGCAAAAGCGGGCATATTTATCAAAGGATTCAATGGTTGCCTCTGCCAGCCAGCCTCCTTGGTTTTCTAAGGCCTGAGGCAAATCGAAGTGGAATAGTGTCACAAGGGGTGTAACCTGATTTGCTAACAAATCATCGATGATCTTGTTGTAATAGTCAATTCCTAGGAAAAAGAAAATGAAGATATACAAGAAGAAAAGTTACTTTTAGTACATTAACAATAACTTTTAAGAGGAAGGAGACTGGGAATAATTTCCTAAATAAAGTTCATTCAAAATGAGGTTTATTACTTCCTACATGTAATCAAAGACTGAGAGGAAATATTAAAAAATCCCAAGGAAGACTGGCTGATTTGGGGGGTGGGAGAGTGGTGGGGTGATGTGTTCATGGGAGAATGGGATACATCTGGGCACACTGCTATCTCATAACTTTGTGTTATTGCTACACACTGAGGTCAACTTATTGATTTGTCTGTATGCAGCATTTGCCTGTTAACTGCACTAGAATACACCCCATAATAGTGAAATCTTTGTCTATTTATTTTACTTCAGGATTTTCCAAATCCTGGCACAGTACCAGAAATTTAGTAGATACTCAATAAACACCTGTTAAGTGAATGAACAAACCTCAATGGTATTGAATATAAGGTAGAAGAAAGGAACCAGGTAACTAACTGCCTTAGTGCTTCTCCAGAGCCATGAGTCTCAAAAGTCTAGGGAAAAAGACACACTGAGCAACAACAAGAGCTCAGCACGTTTCCCAGAATGTGGGACACAGGGCAGCTAGGACACTAAGGAACATCAGGTTGGGGAGTCTGCTCTAAGCTTGACCTTGTCCTTGGGAATACAGACCACCCCTGGCTCTGGCTCTCAGCTGGATAACCAGTATAATTTCATTTTGGCATTGTGTTTCATTCCAAGTTTGCATAGAAATAGGATTCCTTTCCCTTTTTTTTTAAACTTACTATCCTCCAATTTAAAAAAAAAAAAAACCTGACAATCCAAACTTTATATGTGTCCCCTTTAGTCCATCATTCATTTATTCATTTCTTACATGCACATTTATAGAGAAGCTACTGTATGCTGGATTCCCAAACATATTTAAAATAAACACTATTCTCATCTTCAGGGAGCTTAAAATTTAGTAGGGACTCAATAAATCCACAAATCATTACAATAGAGTATTATTAGTAAAGATGAAGTACAGAATGCAATTTAAGTCTATGATAGAGAATACCCATCCCAAATTGAGGGCATTTGAAATTTATTCTGAAAGCAATGTATCATGACCATTTCAAAAGTGAACAATGAATGCCAAGCTACATCAATTCAATGCCAACTCTTCAATACTCTCTCAGTGGCCTTGGGCAAGTGACCTTATCTTTCTGAATTATCTTTCCCTTTCTATAAAATGTAAACAATAATAGAAACCCACTTTAACAATTATTATGAGAGTTTAATGAGTTAAAAAATTGAACCTGCTCAGCAGAGTTTTTGGCATAAGATAAGGGCTTAGTAGAAGTTAGCTATCATTCTCAGAATAATTATTACTGTTACTGTTGTCATTCATTACATCTAAGCTGATACTCAAAAGATGAATTCAAAGTACCCACACAAGGCAAAGAGAAAGAGTAATCCAGGAAGAGAAAAAGGGAAAGCAAATGTCAGAAGACCAAAGAAGGTATGGAAGTAAAAAGAAAAACAATACACCCAAATGTGAACAGAGCTTGCTAGAGTAAGGGAATCAGCCATAATCACTGGGCAGATACTCAAAGGCTGTCAGGGAAGAGGGGAAGAGGGGACCTTCACGTGCATGCTGATTAGAGGTTGTTGGCACAGAGCAGAAGTGGGGTGTCTCAGTTTGGGGGGCATATGTGGCTTTCTCTGGTTGGTCCTGAGTTGAATGCTGGGGACAGGGGAGCCTGCAAACAGAGAAGGCTGGCAGTTGCGTAGCAAGTTCTGACTATCTGGGGTGACCGCTGCAGAGGCTCTAGTTCACCTTCCTGGGCTTCTTAGGTGGGTCAGAGTTTTATCGTCATACATGGCTGAGGTACTGTCCATTTGCATTTTTATTCCCCTAAAATACTATGGATTTTCCTGGGAACTAACAGTTTGGTATAAGGAGAGAATATAGCTCAGCGAGGAGGAATCAGAATGGTGAGAGGTAAGCAGGGTAAACAGAAGCCAAATTATGGAGGTCATGTGTTGTCTGTCTGTAAAAGTGGTATTTTTAACAACAGTGCACGTATCTTGCCAACTAGAACATAGTGTGAATCATGTATAACAACTCTACACTTGGAAAGTGGCATCCCATTTAAATGGCATTACTCACTTGGTAAACAGAATAAGCCCTCCACCCCTAAAGATGCCCATGCCTCAACCCATGGAACGTGAGGATAGGTTGCTTTACACAGCAAAAGGGACTTTGCAAATGAGTAAGGTTGAGGATCTTGAGATGGGATGATTTCTCTCTAGTTTGTTCAGTTGGCCTGCATCTAACCACATGAATCATTAGAAGTAGAAATGGATGGCAGAAGAGTGGATCAGAAAGATGTAACTGCAGAATACACAGAGGGGATGGCAGGTTGGGAAAGGCTCAACCCTTTATTGCCAACTTGGAAGATGGAGGGTGGGAGCCATGAAATGTAGGTGGCCTCTAGTTCTGAAAATGTCCCTCGGCTGACAGCCATCAAGGAAATGAAGACTTCAGTCCTGTGACCACAAGAAACTGAATCCTCCTAACAACCTGAATGGGCAGAGAAACAGGCTCTCCCCTAGATCCTTCAGAAAAAAATATAGCCCTGTAGTCACCTTGGCCAGACCTGTGTCAGACTTCTGACTGACAGGGCTCTAAGGTAATACATTTGTGTTGTAGAGTCAAGCTTGTAGCAATCTGTTCCAGCATCAGTAGAAAACTAGTGCACTCACCAAAATGTATGAAACTTTTCTTTCCTCTCTCAGTGGAAAAGCACCCCACCACCCCATCTCTGGACCTCTGTAACCCCCCAGGTCCTCATTTGTAAAATGGGATATGCAAAGATGGTTTAATGGAGTCATTTTGGAACTGGTACATGTTATGGTTCATATAGTCAATTCCTTCCACTGGCTTTGCATATTAAAATATCAGCTTTTATTTATTACATTCATACTTAAGCCCAAGAGGTGGGTATTTTTATCCTCAATCAACGTAAGAGAAAGCTGGGATTCAGAGAGAATTAGAACTAGACTTAAAGCACCAACACTGAACTCAAGTTGTCTTACTGCAAAGCCTGGGTGTTTTGACAACACTCCATTTCTAATGGAGTGTTGTCACTAATGCTTCAGAATCAGACTGTTGTAGCTGTCCTCTGTCAGCCCCAGTAACCACACACTTTAGAGCTGACTCATAACATCAGGTTCTTTTCCTGTTTCTTTTTTGGAGGAACCAATGATTTATCTTCAGTAGGCATCATTAGATATGGCACAACCATTAATGATGGCAATCATTGTAATTCAAACAACATGGTAACCTTCAGTTGAGTTGAAGATAAAAAAAATTAAGTAAATTTTTTCTCACTTACTGGAGTGTCAGAGCAACAAAGCATTGCACAGTTAGTATTTAACATCTTAGGATGAAGCATTTTATTCCTGGGTTGCACAGTTTATTTGGTGTTGTAATGAAACTTTCCCATGATGCAGTGGAGTAAGGTTTCTAAGAGCAGAGCTCCAGAGTCATACAGTTCAGTCAAAAGATCATGGATAAAACACATGGCCTCTCTACATCCGAGTTTCTTCATTTGTAAAAGAGGAATATTAATAGTGCCACCTCGTGAGTGTAGGAAGTATCAAAGAGGAAAAGTCATCAGAGGGTTCTTCAGCTTTCCCAGAGTGGAACAATTCTCTGCATAAATGTGTGTTTTCAAATGACCATCTGTTACCAATCTAGGGATCTTGAAACTTCAACTGTCACTTAGACCTTGTTCTGCATCTGGATATTAGTAGAGGATTGATAATTTTAAGTACCGAAACTTCTGTAGCCTTCTTACATTGTTACTACCAGGTTCTTTGTTTCCATTAAAACTATTTCTTTTTATTTAATCTTTGAAAATATGAAGTTTTTTGAGTTAAAGGTCTTTTGGATATTTAAAAAATCACTTTAAACCAAATATAAAGGTGGAGTAGGGACCGGTATCTGGTTGGTATGGGATGCGGTGAGCATTCTTTGAAATGATCTAGAGAAATCATATGCCCAGTAACAGAGAATGATTATAAGTGGAACTCAAGGGACTTGAAGCTAGAAGCTGAGAAAACCTTTGTCTCAGGAAATTCTGGTCTCTCCCACCCCAGCTTTTCCATACACCTACTGCATGCCTTTCTCACAGAACCAGTTTTCTCAATGCCTCAGATTTGCCCTGGTCTCAAAATGGCCACTCCATCTGCCAAGGCCAACCACTGATCAACTCAGCCTCTTGGCTCCTTAATTCCAAACATCCCTGAGAAAAGAAAGCAACAGAGCAAAATGCTCTTTTTCAATGGAGTTACACAAATGAAAAGTCCCAAAGAAGTCTTTCTCTCCTACAGTCAGGTGTGGCCGGAGTACAGCAGGATTGTGTAGAACAAAGAAATTGGGAAAATTTACTGAGAAAACAATGTGGCTGGAACTTGCAAAAATGATGTCTTGATATAGAAAATAACTGAACCGGAATCCTCCTAGGCAAACTATAAATGTACAAGTGTAGAATTAATTGTGATAGAGAGACTGCCATGCGTCAGACATATATCTAACTCTCTAAGTCCACCCCTCTCTGGATGCACACCACCCATTTCTTTCACTGCTCTAGGTCCCCCTGGCCTCCTGATGCATTCGTTTCCTGCCGCTGCTGTAACAGATCAGCACAAACTCAGTATCTAAAACAACGTGAATGCATTATCTTACATTCCTGCACGTTGGATATCCAAACTGGTTCTCACAGAGCTAAAAGCAAGTTGCCAGCAGGGCCGTGTCCCTTCTGGAGGCTTTAGAAGAGAATTCACGCACTTGCCTTCTCCAGCCTGTAGAGGCCCCTTCCCCCATCTGCAAAGCCAGGACTGTAACATCTCTCTTCTCTGAGCTCCGCTTCGGTCCTGGTATCTTCTCTCTCTCTTTACTTCATCCTCTTGTGAGGATTCACGTGATTACATTGGA